TCTTTTCAAAATGAATCAAATATTCTGAAAAGTCTTCTAATTTTACAAGTTCTGCAACACTCAATTTTGAAACAAATTCTGAAAATTTGAAACTCTGAATAATATAATCATAAGAAGATTCATCAAAGTAACGCAAATAAATTGAAAAGTCGCCATTTGATACCTTGGAAACTTCCTCTTTCTTTACAAAGATACAGAGGGCAAACTTGTTATTTTCCAATTCTGAACTTGTTGGACAATCTCCAATTAAGAGAATATCATCTTTTCCCATCCATCTTTCAGTAATGTATCCAAAGTTACAATCTCGAAAAGAAACATATTTTGCAATCTCTTTCTCAATATACCAAAACTTTGAATTTTCAAACTCAACTCTCCATAGATATTGTAAACATTCTGGAATAACAAATTCGTTTAAAACTTGAACTTTTGGAATGAAAGATGGTAATTTGCCTCCAAATTTCTCAAGTGCAAGACAAATCTCCTTGTTGAGTGGAGTTTCAATAATATTTTCCTCAATGTGTAACTTTTTAAAACATATTTTCTGTCTATTTAGATATATTAAAGTATTGGTTAATCTATCAAAATAGGAATTGTAATATCTAATTTTATCCAATTTAAATGTTAATAATAAATTATTAGTTTTCTTTTCAAAAAGATAGACTACTTCCACTACTGTGATATATACAAGATATCTTTCATAGAAGAAGAGATGGCTAAATCTCTGATCACAAACAAGTTCAGTTTGTGTTCTAGTTTTTTCTGAAACTATTAATAATTTGAAGTCATAAACTTCAAAACTATCAACATTAACTGATAGATAAATGGTTTCCTCCTCTTCATCATAGACAATATCTGCGCAATAACCTTGGCTTAATTGAAATGGAATTTTCCTCTTGACTGAGCCATCATTCATATCCAAAACGTTAACTTCCAAATTATTGGGAATGAAAATTTCATTTCTGGATTCACTAATAGTAAAACAATACACGTTTTCTCTAAAAGTCCACAATTCTGACATGTCATCAAGTCTATATTTTGACATGCCACTAATTGAGATTACAAACAAGTGTTCACCAACACTATCGACTTCAAAACTATCAAATTTCACATTAATTTTCCTAACAAGTTTCAAATCTTCCTCATAATTGTAAATGTGAATATTTTTGCAACAACTAAGAAACAATAACTTTTTCTGGTGACATATTCGAATCTGCACATCATCATTTGCAAGACAATCAATAGAAACCTCGGAGAGTGTGATCTTTGTATTGAGAGTTCTAATTTTGTTTCCTCCAAGTTTCTTCTTCAATAGAATACTTTCCATTAAACCATCATCATTAGATAATATTATTTTTACATTTTCATCATTATTCTGATCATCATCATCGGAATCAATATTTTTCTCTTTTTCTTCCGCAGCGTGATTGAGTTTCTTCTTTTTCAGAGGTGATTCCATTTTTTTTTAAAAATTAATTTTAAACTTATTTCTAGAAAAATAGAAAACAAACTTTGAGAATTTTTAGTAAATAATTTTTGAAATAGTTTTAGAATTTTTATTAAATAATTTCTTCCAATTCTGATTCGATTTTAACTCTTAATAATTGTAAAGTAGCATTTTGGATGCATCTTCCATCGAGTGTTTGATCGTCTGGATTGTTTTCTGGAGGAGAAATTCCGTATTGAATAACCCATTCCATGTGGTAGGGTAAATATTTGGTTTGATTTTCTCTTTCTAAAAGTAGTCGAATTTTTTCTTTAATTTTTCCAAAATTGGCAAATTGTCGATTTTTCAAAATTTTTGGGATGAATATTATTAAAGCAAAGGCAAGGCCTAATCCCATTGTCATGATTATAATTCCTACTGCTACAAGTATCATTATTAAATACAGCATTTCATATTTTCTAAATTTGGCATAGTATTCCAAAAATAGAGAATTTAAAGGTTTTAAAATAGAAGACTCAATATCCGTCACCATTTCTATCGAATTTGACATTCCACACTGTTCCAAACACCCAATCAATGACCCAGAATTACTAATCGAAAAATTAGGACCTTTCATTCCAATTTTCGTTTGCAATAAAACTTCCACTTTAGGACCATCATTGGGAAATTGAGACTCGGTTAAAATTGTGGTGGTCGTATCCTGTTGCTGAACGACCACATAGGATGGTTTTGGTATTCGAATTGTTGATTCGTGTCGATGTGGATTTACTGAGGGAGAAGAAGATGACGAAGTTTTATAAACATTCCGCGATGGAGATCTGAAACTCTGATTATTTGTCTGATTAGTAGTTTGTGGAGAGATCACTGAGACTGAATTTACACAATATATTGATGAAGACCTCTGCTGCATTTTACGTTTCTGTGCTCTACTGTTATTAAGGGTGGTTGAGGAGGTTAGCAAGTTGAAGAGAATCCAACAATATGAGGATAACGAGGAGTAGTAGGGATGCAATCCTCTTGGGATGGAGGTTGTGGTGGTTTTTTTTATTGTTTGATAATTAATGAGCGCGCCGTTTGTTGGATTGCTGCAATCTTGAATGGAAAGTAATTTGCCATATTTGGATACGACCATTCGTTCATTATTTCTTAGAAAGATTTATTGGAGGGAATTCATGATACAGTACAATCCTGTAGCAAGCAATTGCTTTTTTTTCAAAGAGATATATAATACATGTTTGAATTAAGTTTAAAGTTGATTACTTGTTGAAGGAGTGGTTTCTTCTGAAAGAGCAGGATTTCCATTAATTGACGATGGTGTTTCCTTCACAATGCTTGAAGAAGATGAAATTACAGAGCTGAAACTTGACAATGGAGGTGACCCTATTTTGGAAGAGAAGGGATTAGATCGAACATGGATGAGCGAAAGAACAACCTCTTGGACACATGCCAATTCTGTCCTTATTCCTACACATGTCCTCTTCTTGTCAGAATTGATTATGCTATATTTGATAATCCATTCGAAACCATAAGGAAGATACTTCTTATTTTCTCTTTCTAAAATTCTGTGGATTCTCTCTTTCACATTCTTATCATAATTTTTCACATGTTTCCAATGTAAATATTGAATTAGTAACAAACATGGAAAGAACACCAATCCACATCCCAAAGTAATGATTGCAATAAATATTAATGAATTTAGCAACATTTTAAAATACATTTCATAGTGAGAACTAATCAATTGATGTCTCTCCAATATTCTATTTAATGGAAATACTAAATTAGTTTCCACATCTTCCACAATCGAATGCATATCCCTCGAATATCCATAATGTCGTAGAGTTCCCTTCATATTCTCAATTGCTCTCCCACCAGCAAATCTCAAATATTGTTGAGTATCCAATGGAGAATAAACCATTTCAACTAATTTCTCCCTGATAGGACCATTCGGATATTCATGAATCAACACTGTTGAGTGTGGAGAGAGAACATATGGTCTCTCTGATTCTTCCTTTCGTTGAGCTATAAAACTTGTTCTGGGAAGTCTCTCAGATATGTTGTTGATCAGAGGTTGAAGAATTTGATGAGGCAATTAATTGTTGTGAAGTTAGTTGCTGACTGGAAAGAATAGATAGAGAATTTGTTGGGGAAGTTAATGTAGATGAAGTAAATGGACCATCCGAGAGAGTGGTAGGTGAGAGGAAGTTAATTTCAGTGCTGGAATTTGGTGTCGATCCCTCATGATCATCTACTACGAGTTGTGAGGAAGTAGTGGGTGATGAGGAATTCATCATCAGCATGCTAAATTTAAAAGTAATTGGTTATTTGTGAATCGCCCAAGTAGCAGCTACTTTGAGCCTGGTAATTTTTTATTGTTAAATTTTTTTTAAGGCAACAAGGTGATATTGGAGTAGGAATGAATAAGGATTTTCAAAAGAGCAAAATCTTGGGGACTGTGAGGATCGAACTCACGACCTTAGGATTATGAGACCTACGCGCTACCGACTGCGCCAAGTCCCCTTACATCCATTACCTTAAGATAATACAAATGGCATATACATTTGCTAATAGATTTTAGCTTTATTTATTAACATTTAAACTTGAAGTTCAACTCGAACAATCAATGATAAAGGAACAGTTAAAGAACAATCCTATTATGGTATGTAACAAGTCGAAAGAATTATTAAACTTTTTACTGATATTTTTAGCTTGGCATGGAGAGGACCATGTCATCATTGTTGATTTACTCTTTGAACATTTGAAAAGAAAATTCCATCTTTTCGAGGTATCTAGTAGACATTATATTCAAGATATTTTAATTCAAAAATTATATTAACTCATTAAGGTAAAAAATTAAAAGCAAAACTGCAGAAGGTGGGATTTGAACCCACGAAGCTTGCGCAGTAGAACTTGAGTCTACCCCCTTTGACCACTCGGGAACCCCTGCTTCACATTAAGGAGAAACGAGGACATAATTAATTCAAGATTTTGCTTAATTGTGTTGTGTTGGTGCTCATTGGCAGAAAGTATTGTTTATTTCTTATGAGTCCAAATCAAAATTTTCTTATCATACGCGTTAAGTTTGAAAAATAGAAACTAGTTTCGAAATAATTCCCATATTCGACATGTAGAAAATAAATTTGATGAATATCATAACAAGTTTCGAATGAAAATTTGAATTTTGGTCGTTTCACAAAGACATAAACATCAGACTCCTTGTTATCATATGACTTTCCATAATTTGTGTAAACGAATTGATAGTCTCCAGAAATTAAATTTGTCTGATGAGGAATCATATCATCGGACAAGATTAATTGGATTGAGAATTGGGAATTTCATTTTTAGAATTTTTGGAGATCAAAAGTGGTTTCAATAATTTTTGCTAATTTTTGAAAATCCTCTTGTTTGTGATGTATAGTTGATGAAACTTACCACCAATGCAGGAAATCCTCTTAATTGATGTAAATTTACTCTCGATTTATTTTCAAAATCCTAATTTCCATAAAAATTATTCCACAATAAATTGAATATCTGATAAATTTCCTTTTGAAAATTGGTTAAATAAAGCTGTATGGAGTTTCTTTGAATATTTGATGGAACGAATCATGGTTGCAATGTCCATTCGGTTTCGTTGTTCTGCCAATTCGAAAGCAGTTTTTCCCACAAAATCTTTCTTATTAACAAGAACATCAGCTTCATCTAAATTGAGTAGCTTGTTAATGAAATTCAAATCTCCTTTCAATGCAGCAATATGCAGATATGTCTATTAAGTATTTTCGAAACATTTCATTTCTCTAATTCAATTCTTAAAAACTCACATTTCCAGTTTCATCAGTCATTTCAAAATTTACCAAATTATGATCTATCAAATAGGAAAACATTGAAAAGTGTCCATTCCAAACTGTATACATTGGTGGTGGCTGTCAATGGTCAATTCCGATCCTAATTTTAATTTTCAAAACCTACAGAAAAATTTCTAAAAACTGGTGTGTTAATCAAGGTAAATCTATCTTCTTGATTGGAAATAATATTCATTATTGTTAGAAAACCATTTAAATTTCCTCTCCTACAGGCAGTTTCAAACTCGGCATTGAGTTGATCACCAGACATTTTTTTTTGTTTTCTTTCTTCTTAACTGTTTACATCAGGTTGAACTCATTACAAAAATATCTCAAAGTCTTATGTTCAACTATGAGTATTTAGACTGTCTCCACATTACAGAAAATTTCCTTTATTCAAAAGAATAAAGAATTAAATATTTTGAATATTGTCTTGAGAGAGTATAGTATTATTTTGTTGTTGCTGTTGTTTGTGTTTTAACATGGCTAGACTATAATTCAGAGCCTGATACAACCATTTGGCCTTCTCTGCTGACAATGAGACTGTATCCATTTCGTCTTGGTTGATTCTGATTGAATGTCCATTTGTTAGCATGCAAATTACACATGAAAGACTTTGCTTATTGACTCTTCCTCCAACACAATCAACCTCAAAGGATGCAATTAGATTATAAGGAATGGCAACACTTTCCATGAGCATGTATCTGGCTCCGGCTATTGCTGGGCGACAATCATTAGGATATGCTCTCTTTTCAATTCGTTGCTGTACATTGTTGAATACGATAAAGTGAGTATGGCCTGCAGGAGGTTTATGATTTGCAATACCAGTAACTCCTAGAACGAGTCCACTAAATGGATTATTGGCATGTTCTCCTGATTTTGGTGAAATTCTAAAACAAACATTATAAGTTCCGTATTCATGTTCAGTTGACCATTGATCACCTGTTTGAACTACTCTCTGATTAACTCTAATTCCATTATTATATCCTTGTTGATAACACAATGTTTGTCCAAATCCTGGTGTTGTTGAAATGATTTGTGTGTTAGAAATTGGAGTAAATGGTTTTGTAATGTCGACATTATTGGATGGTTGAAGTCCAAAACCATTGAAATTTCCTCCAGAAACAGTAGCATTCATTGTAACAGGTTGAGCGTTTGGTTGTCCTGTTGGTTGAGCTAGTGGTTTTTGCAAAGTTAGTGGAATACCTGCAATATTCATGTTGATAGTTTGCATGGTTGGCTGAGTTTGTTGAGGTGGAGGAGTAATTGTTTGTTGATTTTGTTGAAATTGAATTGATTCTTGTTGTGGTGGAATTTGGTAATGCTCATTAAATGTTGGTACAAAATTCAAATTTCCATTAATTGTTTCATTGAGAGAAGGTTTTCCATTACAAAATGATTCCGTAGGAGCTGATGGTTTACTATCTGTATCAATAGGTTGTAAATTAGGTCTTTCCAAAGAAATTGCATTATAATTTGGATCATGGTGTGTAGGAGGACAGAAAGGTTGTTGTTGTTGTTGATTGTGATCTACAATTTGTGATTGTGGATAACCATTGGTAGTATTTGCTTGTTGCTGTTGTGGCGGATATGTTATTACATTAGGATAATTATTATTATTAACTTTGAAAGAATTAGAGGTAGAAGAAGGAGGTTGTTGATTTACTGGTTGTTGTTGTAGATGATAATTATTATTATTATTAATATTATTATTACTAATGATTGAATTTCTATGATTGGGTGGCGGAATTGAAGGTTGATAATTTGGTGGTAGAGGCTGCGGATTATTTACATAATATTGTTGTTGTGGTTGTTGTGGAGGCTGTTGTTGTTGATGAGGAGGATGATGATGATTTACTGGTTGTTGTTGTTCATAGCCAAATAATTGTTGATTGGAAGTTTTATCTAAATTTCTGCTATTTGATCCGAACAAGGCAGCAATAAATAAACTGATCATGATGATTGGATTCAACAAATCTACTATGAGTATATTATCAATTCTTTTAGCCGACTTTTTCAAAGCAAATAATTTGCTTAGTTGGCGCTTTTTTTTTTCTTTGAAATGATGGAAATTATTCCCCTTTCCTAATTTGATTTTCATCACGGAATGAAAAATAATATTTTATTATTATTTTTAAAAAATATTCGAATTACAAACGTTGCCGACAACCTTGCCTTCCACTTCAACTTTTGCATCATCCAATAAATTATTCTCGACTATGTCATCATCATCATCATCAAGTGGATATGTAAAATCCAACAATAAGAAATCAATTTTAACCAATTTAAGATCCAATTCCTTGTTTTATTGGTTTCTTGGTTTAATTCTCTCCCTTCCATATGCTTTCTATCATTATGTACAAATATATGAATCATCGTGGATACATTTAACGTTGGGAACGAGATTTGGATGGGGATGGATGTCATCGGAGAAGGTTTGGAGTTTACTTCATCAAATGGGAGAAGAAGGAAGGTATCATCATATGATGTATCAAGGAGTAGCCTTGTTTATAGTTGTGGCCTTTGTTAAATTATTTTGGAGATTTGATAAGAGAGCACTCTGGGTCAATCTCTTGTTTGGACTTTTCGTCTTGTCGAGTTTGATGGAAAAGATCATGATTGGAGTACTTGTTCATAGAGCATTATATATGGAGACTGCACAGGGTGAGAAGGAATTTAATTCGGTGCTGGATTTTTCGAATGAATATTCTTCAACTATTACTTGGTTGAATTTTATTGGAAAGAGTGATATTTGGATGGTCATGATGATTATTATTGATATGATTGTGAAACCTAAATTGATGCAATCTATTAATCGTAATAATTATCAATTTTAATCAAATTAATGATAATTGATAATTGATATTATAAATTATTATAAATTATTATTTATAATTTTAACTGAGAATCGAATTGATCTAAAAGAATCTAGGAAATCTACTAGGAATAAATAAATTATTTAATACATATTTACAATTTTAGTTCATTACCAAAGTGTCTTGTTGTTGTGTGACAGTTGTAGTGACAGTTGGGACTTGTCTACTGACACGAATGAGTTTCAAACTGGCTTCTTGCATACAGGTGAAACCAGTAAAGAGAGAACTAGTTCCTGGTTTCACTTCATAGAGAATAACCCATTCCAAACCGTGTGGCATATACTTGTTTTGATTTTCCTTTTGTAAAAGGTTTCTCACTTGAATCTGAGTAGTTTCATTGAAGGATGAAATGTGTCTATTCTTCAAATATGGGAAGACGAAGATGATGAAAATGAATACTACACCCAAACCAGCTGTTAAAATGATTAAAATCATCAAGATAATAAACGAGATCATGTAGTAGGTATCATAATTGGATGATTTGTTGTAGAATTGAGTGAATAAATTATTGATTGGTCTAATAATGTTATTTTCAATATCGGCTGGAGCATTGGCAGCATTTGGAAAACCATAAGCTCCCAAAGTGTTCGACAAGAGTTGTGGTGATAAATTCAAAGAGAGGAAAGTACCAGAAGAAATTCGTGTGTCAATAATTGTCTCCATAACAGGTCCACCATTTGGATATTGTTGTAAATTGGATGGAGTTGAAATGACTGTTGTTTGAGCCATCATTGGTTGTTGATATCCCATTTGCGGTTGTTGTGCATATTGTGGTTGTTGTGGATAACCTTGTGGAGGCATATATTGTGGTTGTTGTCCGTATTGAGTTGCTCCATAACTTGGTTGATTTGTATGAGTTAAAGTCATTTTTCAAAGACGCTAATAAATAAATTAATTTTGATGATGAAAATTCGTGATGATCACACAAGCAAGGTTTTTTTTCAACACGCAAAAAATCGCTGCCGAGTTTTAACGCTAATTTTTTTTTAATGTTTTTTTTTATTGATTTGCTCTTTGGCGCCTAATTCTTTTTGAATTGGAAGAATTTTCGAAAGGCCAGAATTGATAGAGTTATTTAAGGCAGAAATTGGAAGGGCACTAGAATGTTTACAATGTTGATGGTTTGGGATGATTGAATTGATTGGTCATTAAGGTTGAAAGGTTTGGAAAAAATTACGATAAAAAAAAATGGAAAACATTCAATCGTTGAAAGAAAGTGGACGAAAGTTTTTTAATGAGCAAGATTATTCGAAAGCTGTAGAATATTTTACCAAAGTTATTGAACTGGAAGAAAATGCAATGAATTATTATCAAAGAGCGACTGCTTTCGGATGTCTACTTGATAGAAAGAAAGCAATTGATGATTATTCGAAAGTTATTGAATTAGACGAAACTTTTCTGGATGCTTACTTGTATAGAGGATTGAATCTTTTCAAAATTGAGGATTTTAAGAAGGCAGATTCTGATTTTTCTAAAGTTATCGAATTTGGTGGAACAGATATGGTATTTCTATATCGAGGAATTTCCAGAATTAGAATTCGAAAGGAAAATGAAGCTCTCGATGATTTGAACGTTTTTATTGAGAAAGAGCCTGATCATGTTCAAGCTCTGTTTCATAGAGGACTTACGAACCGAATTTTGGATAATCTTTCAGATGCCATTTCTGATTTGACAAGAGTTATTGAACTTTCGAATGAAAATGATGACCTGTTCAAGGTTTCTCTGGAAAAGAGAGGTAAATTCTATGCATTGTTAGAAGAGAATGAAAAATCAGTGCAAGATTTGTCCGATGTTATTGAATTAGATTCGAATAATGTTCATGCTTTTTATTATAGAGGATTTGCTTTCCAAAAGTTGAATCAAAATGAAAAGGCAGTTCATGATCATTCGAAAGTAAAGGAATTAGATCCTGATAATCGAAATTCATACCATGAAACTTTAATATTAGCCAAAATGGAAAATTCGAATGTTGAAATTGAAAGCTCAGATAATAGGGAAGAAACAAGGGAAGAGAACGAACAAGAAAATGTGGAAAACTCTCCTGAAAAAGCAACACAAGAAGAATCCAAAGAAACTACGGAAACCAGCGAAGACGAAAGTAAAGTAAATGAAGACGAAACTATTCGCAATGAACTTTCTTCCCAACCACTTGAAGAAAATCCAATCGAAATAGCCAATAAACATGACTAATCTGCTTTCCATAAGAAATCATTTTATTACTCATCATCAATTAAAACAACATTAGATTCCTCCAAAATATCCTGTCTAAGTTCATATGCTTTCTTAAAAACCTTAAATTCCACAGTAAATACAAATCTTGAAAAGGTATCTCCCAAATTGACAAATATTTGCTGAACTAGAATTTCAAAACTACTCCTTATTTCCGTTGAGATCTTTTCACTGAGTTGTGAATCCAACATTTCCAAAACCTCATTCGCATACTTGTTGAACAGATTCATAAAACTAGTTCTGCACTTGTTTGGAATATTCACTTGATAGTTGGCGCCATCTTTCACATACGTGTCGTGAATGTAGTGAAGATATGGATGCAATTTTCGCATGTTATTACCTTCGATAATGTCTGTATTTTCTTTCAAATCTGAGTAGAGATAAAAGTTTTCAGAGGAGAATTCCTTAACGCAGAAACTGGCGAATAATTCAGTGGCTTCATCGCTGGAAAAGACAAGTGACATGTCCTCGTTGATTTCTCTACCTTGGCTGATGTTTTTCTTGGCAGATTTTTTCATTTCCTTGTTATTTCTGTATGTTTTCACCTTGCTAATGAGTAATAGAATGAGAGAGTATCCTCCAAAGACAAATAAATAGGTAAACACGTAGAGAACTTCGAAAATAAATGAAATGGAGTCGAATATTAGCGCCTTCTTGTACGAGGCTTCATTTCCATATCTAAGTTCATTTCCTACCAATCCAATAACTTGATTTAAGATTAAAAATACGAAACTAATCACATAAATAATCATTTCAGTTCTGAAATACAATGGTTCATCAATTCCTACTAGAATTGTGTAAATCTTTTCGAAAATATCAAACTTTTCCATTTCCTTCTGAATTTCTTCTTCAATTTTGAATTTGGATTCTCTGGTGAGTGAGGAGTTTCTCTTGGCTTTGATTCCTGCTTTGGCTGAAGATCCAACCCAGTCAAAGATTGCTACCAATGTAATAATGACACCAAATGTGAAAATGATAACCGTATACGAAATGGAAACAATGTAGGTGTATGTTGCTGGTGGAAGGACTCCAGTTCTTCTCAAAACAACCCACAAGACCCAATAGCATACATTAATAACTGCAAATACAATTAAAATAGCGGAAAACAATGAGGAAGATGTCAAGAATCTCAAAACTGTCAAAATTCTATCGCTCTTCTTTTCATTATTTCTACTGGAGGCCAATAAATCGTACAAGTATTTCATAACTTGGAATCTCAACACTTGCATGACATAAGATAAAATGGCTGTCAAATTAATGGTATTCGCAAATATGAGAACAATGTTTGCAATTGTGTTGGCATCAGTATCTCCAGATTCCCACATTTGAGTTGAAGTAGAAGTCAACTGTCTCACTAAAATACCTCTTTGTGTAATGTAAACGAGAAGAGATTCCACAATCAATGCAATCATTCCCAAGTATGGAGTAATCAAACGAGATGAAATTGGTTGTTCATTCTTGAAAATAATCAACAAACAAAGAATGACAATGGAAGTCAAGAAATAGAAAATTCCCAACGCAATTTGACCATAATAAAAGGCAGCAACTGTTTCCTTCACTGAAGCAGGAATTGTCGAAGTGTTTTGTTCCACAAAGGTTGTGAACATTGTCGTGTGAGAACAAGAACAGAGAATTTCTTGACTTGTCAAATTGTATCCTTTCAGATAGCATCCTCTACTGCTCCAAGCAAGTGCAGATTCATCCCAATATTTGCAAGCCATCACTAGAGTAGAATTGGATTGGGTGCTGTTTGAGGTTGAATTGAATTGAGTTGTACTATTGATATATTCCATAATCTTTTCCATTACAATTGTAGAATTTGTAATTTTGAATTTGAGTTCAATATTTTGTGATAAATTCTCCAATGTTACAACTTGTTGATTTTGATAATATTTAAAATCAGTCACTGTTGAAGTTAGGACGCTAACATTGGATTGAGAGTAAATATTTTGATCATAGGTGATCATGGTAGTGGCAGATTCTTTAGAGAATCCATTGTATTGTTTCGTGATTTGTGACAATGGCATGGTTACAGAATTATCACCTCCAATCATTTGATTGGTTCCATTCATTTCTTTATCCAAAGTAAAGACGGCAACAGCAATATCCAATTGAGAAGATGTGAAGGAAACTTTGGTCAACTCGTTAACATCTGATGATTGATCCTGACCAGTTAATAATGTGGCAATTTCTCCCAAAATTAATAAATTGGTCAAATTATCTGCCATTCCCTTAGATTGTTGATTTCCTCTTCCACTTGCCAAAACATTTGAAATAATTTCTGTTGTTCTTGTTGTGTCAGCAGTTGCCAATTTAGATTTGACAAATCCATAAAGAGCTCTCTCTTCTTTGTAATTAGTATTGAGAGTTGCTACAAAATTATTAATCTTGTTAGTTAATTCAGTAATGACACGAGAATCGACAGCCTCTGGATTTGAGGTAGCTTGTTGAATGGCTGTGAGAGCTGTGGTAGGATTCTTTGGATCAATTACTACACTCTTCACAATTTCCAATGCAACATCACTTGAGGAAGTAGAATTGGCAGCGGAAAGAGAGGTGTCATAACTGAAAACAGTGAGAAGAGAAGAGCTGGCATATGAACCGATTAGAGAAACCAACTCTGTCGTTGTTCCTGCATAGGGAGAACAGTACTTGAATATTGATTTCCCATAGAATCATTCACAAAAACAACTACAGATACCGAGCTAGTAGCTAAAAGGCCTCTACTATTAGAAACCGAAGAAAGATAAGGAAGAATGAAATTAGCTGAAGTGGTCTCTGTATAATCGGTAACTCTCACCACATTCGAAGTAACAGGATCTACAAATCCAACAGAATATTTCAAAGGTAATAATTGAGCTGCTGCAGTCCATGATGAAAAAGTAATTGTGAAAAGATCAGAGAGGGCTCTACCTGATGATGGAGACACTATTCCCAAAACATCAACCAACACGCCACCTGTCGAATTTGCAGATGTACTTTGTGGTGGAGTGGCTGAAGAATAAATTGGTACTGAAGTAGAGAAGGTCAAATTGGTGGCACCAGTAAGCTCCAAATTGAGAATCATTTCAGTGCCAGAATATGCATTACTATCCTTAAAATTCAAAGATGGAGTAAAGGTGATGGTATTATTCATGAAATTTGTACTGGCCATGGTGTAACCGTTGTAACTTGAAATGACGGAGGTAATTGAGTTCTTGGTAATTGACAGAGCAGCATTGTAGGAAATTAACAATCCACATGTTGTTGAGCTGTTACTGCATGACAAGAATTGATTAATGAGAGTTTGATCGAGAGAAAGTCGTGGAATGATAATGTTGAGAGAGCTTGATGCGTTTGTAGCCACCACAACCGATGGCAATCCATAAATCTCCAACGAAGATGAAGAAAATACTGATTTGATTACTGTGATTTGGAAATTGGCAACATTCGAAACTCTGGCTGGATACGAAGGTCCATTATCATAAATACCATAAACAGTAAATGAATAAGTTCCTACACTGAGTAATGAACCATCAATAATGGCAGTATTTGATATATTGCTAAATTGCAATTGATTATTCGAATCCTTATAGATACAATTCGTACAAGCCCAAATGAAATAAGTTGGATTAACATCTGAAGAGTAAATTGCTTGAATGCCAATTGCTGAAGAGTCTGAAACTGAGGTTGAAGAAATACTGGTACTCATTGCAAATGGTGAAATGTTGACAGAGCAATCGATTGCATCATATCCAGAAAGACACGAACAATTATTCAAAGAAACGCAAGATCCATGACCTGAACAAGTAGTTGGCTGATCGCTTGTAATGTTAAAACAAGTAGTAACGGAAACATTGCAATAAGTTCCACTAAAACCTGAAACAGTACATGCGCAAACATCATTATTAATGCAAACACCATTTCCAGAACATGCCCCTGCACCACTTGCTCCAAAACAAGAAACACACGAATGAGTATAGCCAGAATAGGAAGTTCCTGCACTACATGTCACCAACTTTCTAATTCTTCCATTTCCATAATCTGAAAAGTAAACCTCACCACTCACTCCCAAAGTAATTCCAAAAACTTGGCCAAACATTACAGTTTTAGCATCAACATCATCCACATCCAAAACTCCTCCACCAGCAATTAGAACAGATGATCCATTCGAATATTTGAAAATTTGTCCAACTCCTCCATAATAAAATTCATTACTAATTAAAGGATCGCCACCAATAGCAGTAAATGCACCCAAAACTATTGTAGAAATATATCCATTTAGATCCACCTTTCGAATAGCATTATTTCCATAATCCAAAAAGTAATATTCTCCATTACTTTTCACGTGGATATGCAATGGATTGTTGACATTGGCAGAAATTGCTAGAATTTGATCTCCATTGTAACCATTTCCATTCAAAGTCAAAGCTTCTGCTATTCCAGAACTTGGTGTCAATTTGACAATTCGTGAAGTTAATTCTGAAATGTACAAATCACCACTTATTGGATGAATATCTAATCCGAAAGGTCGACTCAATGAAATAGACGAAACTAGAGTCGAAACATTGCCAGCAACAATCTTTCTAATTCTATCATTTGAACAATCGGTAATGTAAATGGTACCATCAGAGGCCAGTTTTGCAATTGATGGAGCTCGGAGAGGAGATTCGGTCGCAATTTCGTTTTCTCCACCGAAACCTTCCTGGCCAGTTCCAGCAATATACGAAACTTGTTGCGAGGTGAGGTCAAACTTGACTATTCTATTGGTAGCATTCAGGGCTACATATAAACTCCCTGCATTGTATGTTATTCCATCTGGTTGTGGAGCTAAAAATCCCGTATTCGAAATGTAATAATCTTGAGACGAAACTTGTGAAAAGACGAAAAGGAGAAGAAGAATGGAGGATAGAAAGATGTATTGTCGTATGAGAAGCGAGTGATGATGGCTGTCTGTTGTCATCTTGTGAATTTTTTTTATTGGAAAACTTTCAACATGTCAGCTGTTGCGATTATTCGAAAGAGCACTGAAATAATGAACTGAAGAAGAAAATGGCGGGAATGATGATTTATAATCGTTGATAATTCTAATCATGAGTCCTTTTTGTTTGTCCACTAGTTTCGAAGTGAAATTAAACAATTCCCTTCACTCGATATTTCTGAATTGGTGTGATGAAGGATTCAAATTATTAACAGCACTTTTATTTTAATTGATAGTAATACCATGCACAACATTGAACTCAATGTTTATTCAAAAGCTTCATAGATTGTTGAGAAACTTCCTAATCTTCAATGTACCTCTTTGGGCTCTTCCTCTGGCCAAGCTCTTTGAACAATTCATCCTCCATAAGGATGCATTTTCTTTCACTTTACAACAAAACTTACAATGTTGCAAATTTCAGAGGACATTTTGCGTGCGTTCAATTTTTCCTTTAAAATGTCCTCATCACGGAATTTGTTTATTTTTCAAAATCAAAAAAAAATTCAAAAATTAAGCCATCAAGAAATTTGATCAAGAAATTTGCAATCGGAAGCAATAAAACTCAAAGCTCTCTGCTACAAAATCAACAACACCAACAACAATATAGAAACAAAATGATCGATCTCTACTCACTTGCTACTCCAAATGGTCATAAGATTGCCATTGCTTTGGAAGAAATGGGACTCGAATATAAGGCACACACCATTGATATTAGAAAAGGAGAACAATTTTCTCCAGAATTCTTAAAGATTTCTCCAAATAATAAGATCCCAGCAATTGTTGATCAGGAAAATGGATTGGCATTGTTTGAATCGGGAGCAATTTTGCAATATTTGGCTGATAAAAGTGGAAAGTTTATTCCTCCAAAAGGATCAAAGGAATATTATCAATGTTTGCAATGGTTAGCTTGGCAAATTGCTGGTATGTTTTGAATCACTTGATCAATTTGGATTAATATTTAATATTTTACAATAATTTTCAATAATTTTACAATATTCAATACATTTAATCCTACGCACTGATATGAATGATCAATTGATGAATAATAGGATTGGGACCAATGTCTGGACAAATGGGATTCTTCCACAAATACTGCCCAACTGATGTTCCAGTTGGAAAGGAAAGATACTTGAAAGAAACTCAACGATTGTGGGGAGTTTTGGAAAAGCATTTGGCTGAAGGAGACAAGAAGTATATTATTGGAGATGAATACACCATTGCTGATATGGCTATTTTCCCATGGTTGAGAGTGTTGCCATTCTATGGTGAACCAGTTGTTGAACAATTCAAATGGGAAACCTATCCACACATTAAGGCCTACATTGATAGAGTTGGTGAAAGACCTGCAGTTCAAAAAGGATTGACCGTTACTCCATTCAATTAAATTATTTTGTACATTATTAAACTGCTACTCCACAAATTTATCATGAATCTCAGGTTTTGTAAAGTTTAATTTTGGAACTGTAAAGAAATAGGACAGTTTCTAATAGTTTCTGGGACAAGTGTCTAACAAAGTTTCTAATAGGAGATCTATCATATGGAAAAATTAAATTACATTAAAATTGATCAGATATTTATTGTAAACTTTGTAATTCATGTAATTACAAAAATCAAGTTTCAAAAATTCCATAATTTATTCGAATATTTTCCAATTTAACCAACATTTCCTTATAAAAGCTATCAAGTAATTTGTAAAATATTAAAAAAATTCAAGTGAACGTTTAAAATTTCAAAAATCCACTCTCCAAATTTGGAAAATATCCAAAGATAGGCAAATGTTAAATTCTGGCTAAATTTGATTGGAGAGCAAATCAAAACACTCCAAAAAATGTCAGTTAATGAAACCTCGAATCTTCTTGAGAATCATCAACCTGCCCAACCTGCCTCTTCGAATCCTTCTCAATATTATTCGAAACTAAACATTTCGAATCAACAAATAGAAGCACTGAACCAACACGAATCTGATCAAAGTAAACAAGATGAGGAGAATAAAATCCTGACTACTCTCGATGAGTTTCATTCTCAACCAGAAGAAACTGTTGGAAAGGTTTCGAATTTTTTCCAACCAGAAAGAATTGAAGAAGACAATAGAGAATTGGAAGAAATTCAAATCGATTACACTGATGAACGAGAAGATTTCGTCAATGACTTTCAATATCTCGATCGTAAGAAGGAACCAATTCTTTCAGATAACTTTCCAAAATATCAATCTATTGGAAACTCGAATGATTTGACGAAACCCTTTCTTCCAAAACAAGATTCCAATGAAAGCACTGGTGCCTTCTCTTCCTCAAACCTAAAACCTCAAACATCTCACTCAATTCACGATCATCACGTTTACAAACCTTTGAAAAATGTAAATCCAGAAGAAATTGAAATTGAATTAGAAACCATGCCTCAAGGATTTCCCTATCACAACATTAAAACTCTGACCTCACTTAAGGAAATGTACGAAACCAGAAGAAACAGCATGCCATCCATTACAACACAAAAGAGTGTTGGAAATCAAACTCCGCAACTCTATTCGATGGATAGTTTGATTTCTCCTCAATTTGAAGATCATCGATTGGATTCACTATTGCTCGTTCCACAGGAGGATTACAATGATGGAAAGCAATCTAAACTTTCCAAATTGCTTTTCAAGAAGAGTAATCGTGCCAAATTGTTCTATTGTTTGAGTATGATTTGTGCAATTATGTTTTGGTTTGTTCCTTGCTTGTCGGTTTTACCATTGGTGATGGTTTTTGCCAATTTCAAGAATTCACACAATCAAAAACATCGAAAATTCTCAAAATATGCCAAAAAGTCTCTTTATTTTATTATCATGTATGATTTGGTTATGTTTGCAACATTGTTTATTTGTATTGTCGTTGCATTGATTGTTAAATTTAAGAAGTGACCTAATTCATTAGTAGCTCTGTACCATATTAACAAATTAAATATAATAAAAAATAGTTAAATATATACATTAATTGGGTTTAATTTCATTACAACTCTCTATCTGAGAGAAAAGATTGTAATGTCTCGATGATTAGAGACATTTTACTCTTCTTCTTTTCATCCGTCATTTTTGAAAGCATACTTAATGCATGCTCACAAGCTGGTCTCACCTGATCATCCACAGCATAATCATGGTGATTGATTAGATATTTCACAATGGAGTGACTCTTTCTTTCCACAGCACAGGCCATAACTGAAAGTTTGTGTGGTTGTGAAACTTCCTCGAGTCTAGCTCCTGCTTGTATGAGAACCTTCAAATGGGCAGGAGATTTGGCAACCATGAGAGGGGTGTATCCTCCAATTCTATAATCTGGATCAGCACCCTTCCTTATAATGGTCTTGATGGAAGAGGGTGAATTGGTTTTTCTCGCAGCAAAATGTAATCCTTTTCCTAAATACTCCTCAGAGATTAGTAACTCGTAATTAATTTCATTTCCTAAAGTTAAGAGATTTCCCACATCTTTTGGAAGAGCAGAAACACTTGGTTTGAAATCAGCTGTGGCTCCTCTTTTCAATTTCTCAATTTCTTCCTCGGTAATGTTTGCACAAACAAGACATCCCAATGGGTGATACATTCTCATGAGTGAAATTTTAATCTCCTCTTCAGCTCCATGACAATCTTCCTTAATAGAGTACATGAGTGAGAGAAAGCAATCTGCCATGTCTGTTGCAGAAACTACTTGATAATTGGTTCCATGCTTTCGGAGATATCTATTGATGGTGTGAAGTCTCATCAGTGTAGATAGTATTACTCCCTGCTCAATGTCATTCTTCTCAGCAACAAGTTTACTAAAGGACGAACTCTCCTCGAAAATATTTTCATCCAAATAGGTATGTAAGAGTTTCTTTCCTAAGGGTATCCATGTTTGAGAGGTTGGATGACCATGAGTGAGGGCAATCATAAGATAGGACTTGTTAGAGAATGTATATCCAATAATATCCTCTACAGATTCGGTAATTTTGTAATCAATTTGTAAATTATTTGATTGTTTGGTGTTTTCGGTAGTTGATAATGAGGAATTGGCTGCTTGATTCTTCTTCTTCATGATTACTCTCACTTTCAATTCATGAAGTTCAACCTTAATTCCTTCAATATTCTTTTTCACTTCTTGTGCCTCTTTTTTAGATTTCATATCCAGAATGGCTGTTCGTTTTCCTCGTTTCTCCTTAATACATATTTGATTACAAATAATACTACATCTTTCCAGAACTAGGTCATGAATGTCGGAAATTGTGTAACTTGAGGGCACACCAATAATTTTGGCGCAGAATTCTTTGGATTGTTTGTGTTTCTTTTCTTGCTTTTTTGGATTGAGATCCAAATCAATATTGAATGGAAGAATTGGAGCTTTTGTTGGTTCTATATTGGAAGTTGATGCTGCCATTGTTGAATTTCCAATGACTTGATTGAGAGATTGAGTGGAGAGGAGTGGTGGTGGAGTTGACAATTGTTGTTGTTGACCAATGACTGGTTGCGAATGTGTATTAAGCAATGGAAACTGCACCGAATCATCATGCAGAAAACTCTTCAATTCTGAAAACATTCCATTATTCACTTGTTTTTCATCCACAATCAAGTCATGATTAATAGTCATCTTGTTTGGTTTGTGTTGTTGTTGATGATATACATTCTTAATGTATTCTTGCTGTTGTTCCTCCAATCGTTTCTGTCTCGTTTCTGCCAATTGATGTTGCAGAATATTGAGAACTAACAACTTCCTCCTGGGTATTCCCCTGGCTTGAGCTTGATTATTGGTATCATCAGCTTCTGAAGATTTGCTAGAATTATATGTTGGATGTTCTGATGCTCTCTTCACTGACTTGTTGGATCGAGCAGAGTTTTGATTACTTCCATAACAATTCTCAATGCAAGACTCTCTTCTATTCAATAGATTGAGGGGAGGTGGAATTACCACCTCAAATGCTGCCGGAGCGGAATAAGATGTTGGTTTTATCATGATGTTATTATATTTCTTCTATGAGTTGTTGTTATTTGCATTATATTATAATACTGTAATGAGAGTGTTGTTGTGATTCGGATGATGATTGTTGTTCTGGTTCGACAATTTGAAATTCTTCTTCTTCTTACTAATAAAAGCTAATATTGTTATAAATCTTCTCTTTTAATACTAGAACAAAGGTGTTATAGAAGAGTAATCGCAGAGTTGTTACTGTTGTTGTTGTTGTTGAGAGATGAAAATTGATGTTGGTTTCAGAGAGGGAGAGAAATGTACAGTTTTGCCCTCAAACAAATTTACGGTTTTTTTCAGGTGAAGAATATTGCTATTCTTCGTTATGTGTGATGCCGAGATGCAACAAAGTTTTTCAATATTCATAACGGAAGCAATCTCCTTATTTGGTCTTTAAGAGACCTTATTTAAATGGAGCTCTGCCCAGCCAACTGGCAATAATGAAGTGTTTGGCATTAGTTTATTATTGAGAATGCTCTTCAGCATCTTCTTCTTCAGATTCCTCATGTTGATGTACTATTTGTGAGGGATGAATTCCTTGATGTTGAACCAATCTCAAACCACAGAAATTATCATCGGCAAACATTTCCACATGAAAGACCCAGTCGTGTGAGTTGATTTTGAAGGTCTTTCGTTGAACTTCCACGTCGTTCCAGTAAAGAACCAGATGTTCTGTTTGGTAATTGTACCAAATTGCAATTGTATCCTTTTCCTTAATCTTTTTCATTACTTCAAAACGGTTCCAACGATTGGTCTGTTTGCAAGTAACTCCAATTGCTAAATTACTGGATTCTCCATATCTCAGCAGGAATTTCACAAAATATCTGAATGGATCTTTGCAACACTCGACTAGCTGCTTATTAATGTGATAATCGAGGCAGGCAAATAGAGAACCTGACTCTGATTTTTTAACAACCTCTTGATTGTAGAATCGAAGTTGACATTCCTCTTCCAATGTTCTTGGATCAAAACTTGCATTCAATACTCGACACTCTTCAATATCATTAATTATTCCAGGTAATTTAAAGTATTTAGCTTCATGAGTAATTTTTTCCAGCGTATCGGAAGTAATTTCATTCCATTTTCCAATTAACTTTCCATCTCGTATGTAATTTAATCTGTGTTAAATTATTATTCATTATTTGAAGGTAAAATAAATATTAATTATTATTGATTTTCCTTAATTCAAAACCTACATGTATCTAAAATATTTTGGATCTCTATCTATAAATACATGACCATTGTCATCTCTCAGCACTGTATCCTTCTCCGAAAATACTAATGAAAAAAGTGATTCGCACCCTCGTAGTGTCTTGCTTGTAGTTTGAAATATTTGACCTCCAACATTAAGCGTCACTACCCGATTACTTGAAGTCCTCTTTGGTTTTGTTACTTCGGGTATTGATGAAACAGTCCTCCTCAAACTTGGTTTTTCTTCTCCTGTAATTACTCCTCTAGAAGATGATGATTGTGGTTCATTAGCAAAATTCACTGTTGCCATTTTTTCAATTTCATTTAAATTATTAATTGTCCTAGATGATGGTGGTTCTCTATTTGGTTGTTGTTTTTCTCTATTTTGTTCCCTAGTTGTTGAAGTTACAATATTATTTTTGTTATTATTATTTTGATTTGCATTAATATTATTATTTCCATTTTCTATTGCATTATTATTTGAAGGACTCATCATTTTCATTATTGATTTGAGTATTCCTTTAGATTTGGGCGATAATTCATCTAATTTTTTAACTGCTTCCTCGTAGGTTAATTGGTGATCTTCCGATGGTGATGGTGTTACTGGTGTTGCTGATGATGATTTCCGATGATGATTTCCAGAAGATGATCTTTGATTTGAAGATGATGATAGTTGCTGCTCCACAAGAGGAGAAGATCGTTTTGGAACGCTGCTACTCCGATGTAGAGAGGAATGAGGTTTACTTGCTGTTGCCATCTCATCAATAGATGCCGTATAGTTACTCCTTGAAGAGGATTTTCCTATTTGTTCTGGACATCCTCTGTCGTTCCTAGTTGATGTGCTCATCAATTTTTTTTTTTATTTTATTGTTTAAGATTTTGGCGGGTGATTTTGGCGGTTGATTACATACTCCAAAGATGATTTACTTGTCAATCAGCACAACACAGTTATGAATTGGAAACAACATTAACTGAGCTACCTTAGTGCCTTAGGTCATGGATGTGGTTATGAACAATATTTTCAAGAAGTTAACAAGAATCCCGTGTGGTCCAATGGCTAAGATACCTGGCTCTCACCCAGGAGATCCGGGTTCAATTCCCGGCACGGGAGGATTCATTTTAGTTTTATTTCTCTTTTACAAGAATGATAAAATCTCCTCTGGATCAATACCAAAGTTTGCCACTGTAGAAAAAAGATCATTATCATTGGGAATCACCTTTTCGCTCTCTTCTTTTGCATGGCTCAATCGATTGTGCAAATAACTCACTTGTGGTCTATCATTGAACAGCATGACTTGTCCACATAAACTCAAAGCAGAGGCATAACTCTTTTCCATGATTTTTTGCTGAACTTGTTCCAAATCCAGTGCAATCTTCCTCTCCAAATCGGTGCTCTCTCGAACTGGACATTCTAATGAATATATTTTCATTCCCCTCCTTTTCTTGTAGCCAGAAAATCTCACCAAATCCACAAAATAACACACGAAAATATCCTTAACTTTCAAGAATGTCTCCTCTCCAATGAGAACCTGTGTAGAGTATGAAAAATTGAAACGTTGCAAAGTAGAGGCAATATCTAAGCTTGCACCGAGCACTGAATAACTTGATCTAGAATCAGTGCAATTGAAATTTCCATAATAAATCTCTCCAGAATTAATTCCAATCTCAATGTGAATTGGATGCCCTGTACGTTTTTGCCACTTGGTTTTGAAATCCTCCATCATGTAAATGATATCCATGGCAGCATGACATGCATTTACTTCTTGATTTTGTTCAGTTGGAATTAAAGTGTTATCCTGGAAGGAGAATAAGCACATGGCTGTTCCTCCATCAAATCGATCAATCATACCCTTATGATCCTGAATGATTTTACACATTATTGAACTGTACTCTGTAATCATTTCCAAAAAGAGAGGAATATCAATAGTATCTGCCATCTTATCACAACCTGCCAGCTCACAAAACAAGATTGTCAAGTGCTTCTTTGTTGCAACATTGAAAGGCAGTGGTTTTGATAGTATAATCTCTTTAACAAACGGTTCGGGAAGAAACTTTTTCAAAGCATCCATTCCTTGACCCAATAACATGATTAGATTTTCAATTTCTCTCACTTCATAGAAAACAGTCATTGACGTGTTTGGGAAGAAATCTGAAATGATTTGACTGAATGATTTGCCTCCCTCGCTTTCCCTTTGTTTTAGTCTTGTAATTCTGTGTAATTTCTTCGACATTCGTTCCATTGATGTATTGAGAGCTCTCAGAACTGCAATCATTACAATGATAGACACGATAATCAGCAAAAATGATGCCACAAACGAAAGAATTGAATTATTTGCCAATAATAGAGGAATGAAAGAATCTGAATTGTCCATTTCAACAACCAATACCAAATTCAATCCATGACCATCACAAGTATACGACAATCTAGCAGTCAATCTAGTATTTGGAATGTCTATAACTTCACTCTCAACTTCACAATTCTTTTTAAGACCATGTTTCATGATGGTTTTGTAAATGAGTTGAATATTGTGTAGAGATTCGTTTCCATCTCCTCTAGTAGCCAAAATATCACCCCACGTATTCATGATAAAACTTGTATTTGAAGAATACTCGGATTGCAAGTAGAATCTCTCATTCTGAACATTTAACAAGGTTGTAAATCTATCAATTGAAAAGTGCAAACTGAAAACTCCAAACAAGTAGCTATTCTCCAAATTTTGATCTGAATTTACAATGAACATCTTTCTCGTATTGGGAGACACAATGGTATGATTGTAATTGTTACTGATATAAACTGGATAATGCAGGAAAATACTCGAATTTTGAATGGATTTGCTTGGTACCCATTTGAAATTGTTGTAATTAGATGGAATATTGCTAGAGAGTGATTTACAAAATACTTCCTGATTGTTGAGAATAAAATTATTGAGCACGGCCGAATTGTTAAATATTTCGTTCAATTCGAGTATGGGTCCATACATGTAATTCTTATAAATCGAATAGGAAGTATCACTTGAAGAGGCATAGTATCCATTTGGGTTCTCCACAAAAGTAAGAGTCTTAGGCCACAAATAGGTCGAAAACATGGATGGATTCGAAATGGAATTGATTGAAATTACAGATTTTCCATTATTGAAATCTCTAAGCATGGAGAATGAATCATCCATTCTATAGAATTCCATTCGATTCAGTGAGGTATCAGTTCCAAAGGTAATTGCTACATAATCAAAGAATCTCAGAAGGGCAACATTATCATTGATGGGAATTCCCTTCAAACCTTCCATCATGTGATTAGTCATGGTTGTGTATTTTGAGGTGAAGCTACTGATACGTTCCTCTACAAATGCCCTGATTTGTAAGAATTGATATTCACGAATTTTCACATCCAAAATGGCACCACCAGCTCTCATAATTGAAATTCCAAAAATCAAGCAAACAATTGCTTGCAAAATGAAAATTCCCATCAAAATATTTGAAATGGTAAAGAAGGAATGACAAAATTTGGAACATGATTCTCCTCTCCTCTTCTTTTCCTTTTCAAGTTGCTTCTTTGTGCTGTGGAATGACGTGTTATTAATCAGATTGGTGATATTCGAAGTACGGTATGCAATACTATTAGCTCGTTCATTAACTTTCTTATTCGAGGCAATTGAATCTCGTCTCCTTCTCTCGACACCAACAGGTGAATTCGTAATGTCGTTTAAGACTACAGAAATAGTTCTGGTGAATGGAGGTGGAGAATATGTATTTGCTCGATAATTGTTGGACTGAACTGGAGTAACATCTCCTGATTGAGCAATATCTTGGTCAACCAATGAAGACACTGGAGTTTCCACAGATTCATGATTTTGCTGCTCCAATTCATGAGCCATACTTGATGAGCTTGTAGTTGGTGATGGAGTGGTGGTTCGTGGACTTTGTGGACTCATCAAAACGAATGCCGTATTTGGATGTTGCTTTTGCCCAATACTGAACTTTCTCGTCTCTGTAATGGGTGGACTAAATAAATTGTTGGTTGTGGGTAATCCAATGGAATGACGACTCCTTGGAGTAGTACTCGAAGAGGACCCAAGTGTAAGCCACGAAAATCGTCTAAGCACTGACCGAATACCTGTGTCTACTCTAAACTCATCTGTCTCATGTCCATTCATGTGTCCATCATCAATATTCAACGAAACTTCATAACTATCACAATTATTATGATGATTCTCTGTTGTTATTGAACTCTGACCAGTTTCCATTGAATATTGATGTTGTCCACTATTATCGTCCAAATATTTTAAATCTTCATGTTGATCTTGAACTAGTCGATGATTTTCATTATGATTTTCCATTAAATTCAAAGATTCAGGACTCGTAGGTGGACTGTGATAGAACTGCGGACTATGACTTCCCAGAGATGAAAGAGAATATTCTAATGATGAAGGAGAGGAAAATATTCGATTGTTCTCATTACCTTGGTTCGGAAGTAAATAGTGAGAGGTTTCACTTGTTCCAGATGAAGGTGTTGTATGTATCATTGATGATATTAAATAATAAAACTTTCTAATATTTTAGTTTAGTTGTTGATGTATTTACTATTCGAAAGGTTTACCGTGTTGTTTGCTTTTTTAATGTAATTTATAATGGTGGAATTAGTGTAATGATGGCTCATGAAAGAGAGATGGTCTCCTGTTTTGTTAGTATGGTTTTACAGTTCAACATTTTGAGATTTTTTTAAACTTTAGAATATTTTACAATTTAACGGAATGTTTTGGCAAAACAATTTATTCCAGCTTTTCCAATTCAAAATTGGCAATTTTGATATTTTCCTCAATCTTTGATTTGAGTTCCTTCACTTTGGATGATTCAATTGTTAAAGATTTTGAAGGATTTTCCAATATGAATGCAAAAATCTTGTTTGCCTTTTCAAAATTTTCCAAAGCTACCTGAATTCTCCTCTTTCGTTGTTTCTTATTTTCCTCAATCTTGTCCTTATCAACTCTGATTTCACAATCAGAATTGCAAAGCCACAGAATGGCACTCTTACTCAATGCAAGAGCGGCCCACAAATTATACGAGTGACCAAATGCTCTCTCTGTACTATTGTTAATGTAGAGTGGCGATTGAGTGACCCAATCATATCGAGTGCAATACTTTTGAGATTGATCATAAAATTCCAAATCTCCTATCAAAGTGTTGACAGAGTGAATTTCCTCTTGGCTCAATAATTCATTTTCCTGATTGGAGTAGGCCATTTTCAAGAAGAGGTAATCCTCCTTCTCCTTCCATTCGTGTTGTGGAACTTGCCAATTATTTACAACTTGCTCGCAAAATGTTTGTGGAATTCTCGTTATTATGGAATACAAATGTCCTAAATCTGCAATCACTTCCAATGTTTGCATTTTCCAATTCATTTGAAATTGATCTCTGTCCTTGGTATTTTCCTCCTCACTTACCACATGTTCCATCGCTACATTCAAAATGAATCCAAGTGGATAGGTAAGAATATGTAGAGGTGTGAAACACAAGGCTAGAGGGAAAAGCAATGTACCTGCTGTTAGGACAACACTCCTCGGAATGATGACATATCCAAGAGAAATTGAACTCCACCAATTGTCATGACCATTGAATAGCCAATTTTCCAATCGATTCACCCATCCATTTTGTGTCTTCTCTTCCTCAGAATCCAACTCATCGATATTTCGTAAAGTCATCCTCTCTCGTATTGTTTTCATCACTTGTTCCATAATATCTGGAATTAATTTCCTTGTATCAAAAAGCTCAAAATTCATCTCCTCCAATCTCTTCCTCTCCAAAGAATTGAAAGCAATATACGATTTAATCACCTTGTTATTCCAATTCTCCATCGAATATTCAAATAAAAAGCAAGAGAGGCATAATAATCCGAATAGTATTTTCATCTTGTTTTTTCTCTGATTTTTCTTGTTACTACTTCCATTACTACTATTGAATGGTGATGAAGTTGGAAGTGGATGATGATGAGAATAGAATGGATTATTATTATTTATAATAGAGGAAGATGAAGATGATTGTATCGTGGAAGAAAACGATTGAATAATGTTCTTGTTGTTGGAATTATAATTCCAAGATAAAGATGATGAATATGATATTCTCTTCCGAAAGTGATGATTGGAAAACAAGGCTTGATTCTGCCTTGCTAGGGTTTTGTACATTTTTTTGTTGGAATAATATTATGTGATGAAGAGAGTTGTTGAATGTTGGGAGAAATACTTCAAGTGAAGAAACAAGACAGATAGGAGAGTTAGTAGACATACTAGAGATGTGTTTATTGTTGTAGAAAGGGTGATTGGTCATGTGGGTAAAGAATTAGAGAGGTTCGGGTGCAAGGTAAAAATCAACCCCAATCACTAGAAGTTATTGCAAAATATTGATTGGAGAATATACACATAGTAAATAAACATTACCAGTGAGGCCTAAATTAGAAATCAAACAAGTTTTCAAAAGTAAATTTTGCTTTTGAAATTTAACCATGGTGACCTTGCTAAACTATGTGAATGCTTGAAAGTAAAAATCGCCACTTTCCATGATGATGTTATTGATGATGTAGAACAATCTCTGACGATTTGTTCTGTTTCTTATCACTTTGATGATGGTGAAAATTGGAAATTAATAATTTGATGCAATTGGTATCGAACTAAAACCATCGCACCCACTTTACTATACTATAACTGATGTTAGAAGCTATAGGTGAGAGTTTTAATTCATCAACGCAACAATACTTTTCCAAAATTTACAAATTCCCTTTAAAAATCCGCAAATGATCATAAAATCAAGAAAAAACAATAAATCCAACATTATACTAGTCTTTCCATGTTGTGCATCAAATCTTTTTAAATTATATGAAGGAATGGCTTCAACATTCAACAAATACTGTATCCATCATGATTCATTCACAAATTTTTTAATAAATAATTTAATATCAAATCCCAAATATTTTTTAGCAGTTTACAAAAACGAACATTTAAAAATAAGCAAGTACCATGCAGGCTATTTTCTAGTACCTGAAGAACGACAGTCATCGATCATCCTATTACCAATACAACGGTACAGTAATGTTATAGGTAGGATGATTAATTGATATTTATTGATAATAATTGATAGGATTATACATTTTGGAAAGAAGGAATATATTATTTACACCATATTATTATTATTATTATTGGAAATGGTTTGCCAGAAAAGCAATGGAGTTTCTCTAAACTAGTTTCTCAAATAGAAGACAAGGTTGAACAATTGAGGGAAATTTACAAGAAGCAACAGTTCAAGACTGTGATCATATAGGCTAAATCATACGAATGCCCTCTTTTAATTATTATCCAAAACATCTAATTCCTAATATATTGAAGATATATTATTCTTGAATGACAAGCCTTCCTAGCTCAGTTGGCAGTAGCGCTGTCCTAGTAAGACAGAGGTCTTGGGTTCGATTCCCAAGGGAGGCATTCTTTTAGCTATTTAGATCAAATCTATCTTCAAAAGCCCATGTTAAGGTATTTATCGAGACTATTGGATGTCGCTGAAATGCAATTACCAAAGAATTCTCACTCAAAAGACGAAACTCATCTCTAACTGCTTGAACATCGCCAGCTTCACAGTGCTCACTTTTCAAATTCAAATACAATTTAGTGTTATTGTCATGTACCTCAATAATGATCTTGTGATTCTATCCTTAGTTGAGCTATCAGGAGGGAAACGAATCTTTTTAAGGCTAAATTTCTGGGCGATAGCATCCCATGTCGCATACAGTTCATCCTTTTCAGGATTGCATTTGGGACAAGTTTGGAATACATGGGTCCAATCTTCCTTGACATTACATTTTCACAAATACTGTCATTACCTAGTAACATTTAGTAAAATTGAGTGGTGGAGATTAAAGTAGAGGAGTCTTTGCTGATAATAAAACAAGAGAGAGTTTCCTGGAGAGAGTGCTATTAGGCCAATTGTAGTCATTGGCCCAACTCATTGATAATTTTTTTGTATCGCTGAGTTTCAATGATAGCATTTCTTAGGTTGGAGACAGGCTTGATTGGTACGGTTACACAAGATTAATAGGAGAGTGGAATTAACAATCCTACAGACAGATGCCATCCTTTCCACGTGACTTATATCAACAGGAGATGAAAGCCCAAGTCCACCCTGAGATTTATCACCACCATCGGAGGGAGACCAAGGTGTTGAAAGAAAATAGATCAGTAATTCTGAAAACTATTTCCATTTAACATGAACGATGTGACTATTTGAACAGTTCAAACTTAAAAGTCTCATTTAATAGTATAAATATCTGCCCATTACAACAGGAGTTCAACTCTCCGGAGACTGAGCAAGGAAAAACTATTTTTTAGCGCATTCCTTGGTTTTTCCGCTGTAAAAAAAAATAGTAAACATGAAACAAGTGCACACTTTCGCTCACATCCTATTAGTTGTGCAGCTTCTCTTCACAGCGTTGTTTCATCTAGTTGACTCAACACCTGTCCGACACTTTCAACATTTATCTTACACCTATCCGATAGATTATTCGATTCTTCCAATTTACCAACTTTCCACTCCAAACCTGCATGGTGCAATGAGCTTGAATTTTAAAGATTTGCAAGGAAGTTATGTACTCAACACTAAAACGCAGTACATTTTCGATCCAACTCCGCCATTTGATGCCAAAAAATATTTAGCTTCATGGATATTCACTCTCGACATGTCAAATGTTACATTGGCAAGTGGAATGACAGATGGCAGTGTTCAAGTGGTGCTCAACAGAGCATTGATGAAGAATATCAATCCATACGAAATGGAACTAATCGGAGTTAAATTGTCGAATCCTTTCGTCAAGAAGGAAACTATTCCTTTCAATAATACTGGACTATACCATTTAGATAGTTCTTTTGAAATTTCCTTTTCAACACTTCAATCCATGAAGAGAAACTATATTGCTTTCCAATATTATGTAAAAGCCATTGTTGAAGGAGATTTCAAACAAAAACTTAGAATTAGTTATCCACGAGATATCGAAAGACAATTGTTTTATTACAGTTCACAAATGATTCTTCTCCTGTCATATGACAATGCTCCTGTCATTGATCCAGATCAAATTGACAGCAGTCCAGCTATTCAATTAGAGTATGCTTATGATGGTGGTGTGAAAATTCCAGAACCTTATGATTACAATTTGATTGCCATCGATCTGTCAGTTTTCAATGTTGGAACAACTCCTCTCCATCAACGAATGAGCATCTCATTTGATTATTCGAAAAAATCAGGATTTGTTTCATATTCATCACTAGATCGTACTGCAAAATTTGTTGACCCAATGTCAATAGTTTGTGCATATGAAGAGAATGGAAAAATAGTCGTGGATGAAAACTCTCAAGTTTTGGAAGTTACCTCCAGAAATAGTGTGAATAGTTATCAATCGTTTGTGTTGACATGTTCAGATAGACAATTGACTTCTGATTTTACATTGTTCATGTTTGCCAGAAAGTATGATGACAGAACTAGAGCTGTATGCAAATTTGGAACTGAGTGTGGAATTACTTCATACATGATTGCTAGTTATGAACTCAAAAATGGAGAACAATATGACAATTTGATTGCAAGTTTTGATAAGAATTCCAAATTGTCAGGAAGTTTTATGATTAACAATCAAAATACTGCAATTTATTCAAAGTATGCAGCTCCTTCGACAATTCAAAAGCCACTCAGTTTAAAGTTTGCATTTTCAATTGATTTTACAGCACATCGTTTGGATGTTTCGGATAATATGATTTATTTTGAGTATACTAATTCATTGCAACCACATGTGGATCCGTTCTCAATGAGAGTCACAATTCTTAATGAATCAACCAATAGTTTTGAATTATTCCAACCTGATATTCCTAAATTAGGAGAAGCTAAATGGGCATTTGATCCAACAGTTTACAATAACACTAATTTAGTATTTGGTTTGTGGATTTACGATAAGAGTACTGCCGTATTAGGGGAAGCAGTGTTTGTGAATTATGCAAGAAATATTGAATATCATAATTTGGATAATTTGAATGTGACAGTTTATTTTGAAAAAGTTGAAATTAGACCAGAAACTCAATCGAGACCTTTTTATGTTTTAGACAAGTTTGAAGGAGATTCTAATAATGTAGTTGACGAATCGTATAATATTTTGGAAAGTTTCAAATTAGATTATTATCAAGGTTGGAAATTATGAATTATGATGAGGGCAGAATTTTCAAATTCCTTCCTTCAATGTCATTTTCTGATAAGAATGGAAATGCCATTGATGTCAAATTCAGTGAAATGACATGTGCTTATTTAATTAAGGATTCAAATGGTGCCTATTCTACAATTGAATACAGTGATGACAAACCAACCTTTTCACAAGATCCAGTTGACAAGGTTTCCAAATACTTTTTAGATTGTTCAGAAGATATCAGAGCTACTGAATTTATTGTTTTGCTCATTTCCAAGAAATTCAAGAGAGAAGAACATGTTATCAATTTTGGAGAACCAGTTACAATTGATCCATTTTTCTTGTCAAAATTTGTGACAGGTTGGTCAGATAAGGATATTTTGCAAGTGACAGTCAATCCTAATAGTGACCTTAAGGGTCAATTCACTCTAGCTAATAGAGATGTCAGTTCATATCAAGATTTTATATTTCCACATACTATTCAACAACCATTAACCATTTTAGGAGTATTTGATCTTTATCATATTACAGTATCAACAAGTGATGTTTTCGATTTCAATGCCATTACTGTTGAATTTATCAAATCTAGTTCAATTTTCAATGTGGATCCAAAATCATTCAGAATATTCAAAGTTCACACAAAATCGAAAATCTTTGAACTTTTATTTGATGATCAACCATTTGAAGGACCTTGGAAATTGGAAATTGACACGAGAACCGGTTCGGATACTTCATATACATTTGCTATTTGCGCCTTTGAGGGTAGTTCAGCAAACTTTGAACAAGAATATTCCATTTATTATTCTAGAATGTTAGAGTTTAGTTTAGAAAAAGATAAATTGGAATTTTCTTTCCAATTGACCACTGATAATACTGAAATCAGTCAAGAAGTTGAACCATCATTCAAGCTAGTAAGAAATGAGACAGTTGGTCAATTAATTATCGATCCAGTTTCCAAATCAGATTATTATTCAATTTACTCATTCGATATTTCTCAGAATTTATTGAGTTTTGGTGTGAAATCTTGGAGAGAATTCACAATTTCAAATTTGGATAAGGAATTAGATAATTCAACACTTGCATGCGCATTTGCATTTGGAAAGGACAATTTGCACATTTCTCCAGAAAAGGCCACTTTTAAGGATGGTTCTTTCCATTTGAATTGTCAAGAAAATGTGATGGTCAACTCGTATCAACTATATGTTGTTGCCAAAAAGATTTTCATTCCTCCAACTCCAACTCCTTCTCCATCCGTTCCACCTCAACCAATTCCATCTCCTTCCAGACCTAGACCAGAACCTTCTGTAATTCCACCAAAACCTGAACCAACTATTGTTCCACCAAAACCATCGCCATCTATTCCAAGACCAATTCCTAGTTATTCGAAAGGTCCACATCCAATTCCATCTCCTCAACCAAATCCAATAACTTCATTCGAAAGAGAAAATGGAATTCCACTCATTCAAGATTCGACAATTTCCAAGAAAATCCAATCAGGAGAATCAGCTCTCTATCAAATAACCATTCCATCTCATTCAAGATTGTCTCTTTCATGTTCTACCTTATCTGGAAAAGATGTCATTGTGCTGGTTGGCCAAAATTTCAAACCAACTAATCAACACTATTCAGTAAGAATGCTTTCAAATCACATTCAATCATTGGATAATCCTTCATCAAATTCTCAAATTTATTTCATTGCAATTGAGGGTCCTAGTGAAGGTTTCTCCCAATTTACACTTCTGCCATCTGTCACTCAATTGAATGTGAAATCTTCTTCATCTCAACACTTACTTGGTCAAAGCATTACTGGATTTATTGTAACTATTGTGTTATTGACATTATCTTTAATTGGAACTTTAATTTTATTCCTTGCTTGTGGAATTTATTGGAAGAAGAAGAATAATTTGCAATATTCACAAGAGACAACTGGATTAGTAAGGAGAGGAAATCCAAATTCATTACAATTGGAAGCAAGTTATTACAGTGAAAATAATTTGTAAATAAATCAGTTTACTTTTATTCGATTTTATTCTCAGGTTTCGTTTATTCTATTCTATTCTATTCGAAAGTGTACTAATTCATTGAATATTGAGTTTATTCTAGAATTGCAAACTGTATCTCCCTGTGCATTGGAACTTCTTCGTCATTGCCAACTAAACTTTTGAACAATGAACTTGCTATTCTTCACACAAGGTTTAAATCAAACCAACAAAAAGTTCATATCCAAACAAAATCAAAAAAAACAGAAACTTTAATAACCTACACTATCAAAAATAATGGATCTCTACATTCCTTCAGATTTAAACAATTGTGATGATGATTGTTTTGACGAAATGTTGCCAGTCGAAGAAAAATTAGGAAGAAGAATGGATGATTTGTCAATTGTGGATCGTCATGATGATGAACACAAACACAACAGCAATTCTCAAAGACCTGGTGCTTGGATTCGTGCTAAACATTTGGAAGAAGAAGGTTATGATCAAGAATTGGTTGACCACAGTGAAAATATTGTTGATTTGGTTATTGTAATGGATTGTACTGGATCAATGTCTGGTGAAATTGAAGTTGCCAAACGAACTGTCACTACTATCATCTCAACACTTCATGAAAAGTTTCAATCTGATTTGAGATTTTCAGCTGTCAGTTATAGAGATCACACTGATGATTATGCAGTTAAGGAATTCCCATTTACAAAGGATTTAAATAAGGCAAAGGGTTATATCAATACAATGTCAGCTCAAGGTGGAGGTGATCATCCAGAAGCTTTGGCATCAGCTCTCTATGTCATTAATGAAATGCCATTTAATAAGAAGGGAAAGAAGATTGTTGTTTGGGTTGCTGATGCTCCTCCACATGGAATGAAAACATCATCTGATAGCTATCCAGAAGGATGTAAGGATCAACAAGGAAATGTCATTGATTGGATCAAATTGGGATCTGCTCTCCAGGAGAAGAATGTTGTCTTTTATGGAATTTTGTGTGAAAGAGCTAAGGATGATCAACAATTGACCTTGTTTATGGATTATTTGACAACTAAAACTGATGGTAAATGTTTACTCTTAACAGATGCTAATAAGATTCCAAATTTGGTGATTAATGGTTGTGTGGAAGATGAAGATATGGACAATCTTGTTGCTAAAAAAATTAAAGAATTGGGAGAAGAGAAGGTCAATAATTTGGGAATGGATGATTTGCTTAAACTCATTCACAATGAAACATCCTCTGAAAAGGTTGCCCAAGTTAAAACCTTTGAAATTGCCTCAACCAGAACTAAGAATTTGATGCAATATTCAACCTTATCTGATATGCAATGTGATGATTATGTTTCAGGGTTTGGGGTTGGGTTTGGGTTGGGTTTGGGTGGGGGGGTTTGGGTTTGGTTAGGATTCAGAGTTGATTTATTTGGGTTATTTAATATATTACTTAGTGAAGATTTATATCATTGATTATATTTCTTATCATCTATAAATGATGTAAATTTGATGGTTTCATTTCTTGCATTGATAGATATTTAAAGGTCAGGTCAGTACTAACTTTTGAATTATGGACTTTGAGAAGTCAAATGTTTGGGACGTGAATCTACTCATTAGATTGAATAGGTATTGCTAATAAAGGAACATTTCATTGATTTATTGAATATAACGGTCAAATTGAGTTGAATGGAAGTGAATCACATGTTGATTCATCGTGGATGGGTAGTTTCGCCACGAAGTGGTGCAACTACCAACCTTTGTAGATTGAATCAGGTTGATTTGC